CCCCAAAACCCCAAAACCCCAAAACCCCAAAACCCCAACGAAGATTATATTATATCTAAAATATGGAAAAGATATCTTCCAAAGTTGCTAAATCCGTTACTTCAATGGGTATTGTGCCAATATGTTACTCTTTAGGCCAAAAGGCTTCTGCTGGAGCAATAGGTGGAGTCTTTAGCCCAGCTTGCACAAAGAACTTCTCTACTATCATGAAAGGAGAGAAGTTAATTAGTAATAAATGTCTTTAACTTCTAGTGTCAATTGATCAAGGAACGACTTCAAGCAGAGCTCTATTGATTAACAAGAACCTTGAAGTTGTTGGTGTACATCAGGAAAGCCATAGTCAGGTCACAGAGAATCCAGGATGGGTCTCTCACAACCCAATGGAGATTTACAAAAATGTCGAGAAGTGTATCTATGAAGTTATGAACAAGCATTCTATTGACAAATCTCAAATTCAAGCTGTCGGTAATATTACTCTTGACTTTTAGGAATCACAAATCAGCGTGAGACTACAGTTGCATGGGATAAGAACACTGGAGAACCACTACATGACGCAATTGTGTGGCTTGATAAAAGAAATGAGAAAATAGTTGAAGACCTAATATCCACCCACGGTATATCTTCCTACATAAATCTACAGGTGTTGATTCATTCAGACAGACCACAGGCTTACCAATTGCAACTTATTTCTCAGCTACCAAAATGAGATGGATGCTAGACAACAGCACAGAAGTGAAGAAAGCAGAAGACGAAGGAAGACTATGCTTTGGAACAATAGATTCATGGCTTACTTACTGCCTCACGGGAGGTGAGAAATATCTCACTGATGCAACAAATGCTAGTAGGACTATGTTAATGGACCTTGAAACACTCAGCTGGAACAAGGGCATGCTCGAGATTTTTGATATTAAGCAAGAATGTCTTCCTCAGATCATTCCAGAGTCTTCAGGTAGGCTAAACTAGTTATAAATTATAGCTGATTTTGGAATTATCTCACAATCAGATTTTTCTGGGGTTCCAATCACTGGAATCATTGGTGACCAACAGTCTGCTTGTTTAGGACACACTCTCAAGAAAGGAGAAATAAAGAGCACATACGGAACTGGGTGCTTTATCCTCATGAACAGTGGGACTAAGCCTATTCACTCCAAAAATGGTTTGTTAACAACAGTAATGTACAAACTTTCAGAGGACTCTCCAACAAATTATGCACTCGAAGGAGCCTCAGAATGTGGAGGTGTCACAATCGAATGGGCTAAAAATAACTTAGGGCTTTTCAAAGATTTTCAAGAATTTGACCATCTTCTCTCCTCTGTAGAAGACAGTGGAGGAGTCTATTTTGTTCCAGCCTTCAGTGGCCTTTTCAGCCCATATTGGAGAAATGACGTCAGAGGAACAATCTTAGGAATGAGTTTGCATACCCACAGAGGGCATATTCTAAAAGCATTGACTGACTCAATCTTTATTAGATGTAGCGAAATCATCAAAGCAATGGAACAAGACTGTGAAGGAGCCATTGAAATCCAAAAAGTCATGGTTGATGGAGGAGTTACCAAAAATTCAGGACTAATGCAAACCCAAGCTGACCTCCTTGATAAAACGGTTGTAACTAAGAAGGAACAAGAAATCACAGCTATAGGAGCTGGTATTGCGGCTGGCCTCAAAGTTGGAATGTGGTAAGGTCTTCTTCCTCTATACTAACTCTTCCAACCAGTCTTATATTTATTTAACATATAGGGAGAATTCAAGTTCAGGAGACTTCCCAATCACTATCCCAGATGCCCAGAAGTTTACCCCTTCCATTTCAAATGCCAAGAGAGCAGAGATTACTGAAAAATGGTCTGATGCAATTGATAGATCTCTTGGTTGGGCATAAATGCCAAACTTCCTGAGCCATTTAGTCGCTGAATTCAACGATAAATATTTTTTAAGGGGTTTTGGGGTTTTGGGGTTTTGGGGTTTTGGGG